ACACACACACACACACACACACACACGTAACATGATTAATGTTAGCTTTTAGCCTCCACTTCAGCTCCATGTCCAGGAGGACAGAAGAAAAGTCGCCACTTACAGAAAAGTTCTTCCCTGGTACCGTTTGGCAAACGCTTTCCTGCAGAAGAAGAAGAAGAAGAAGAAAAAAAAAAGGAAACACTTAAAGTAAACTGCCTTCATCAGAGTTCTGTTTTTTTTATCCTCATTCCATGACAGATCCTGTACATACAGTAAATAAAAAATGAATTGTTACATTTGTGGATCCTTGATTTGCCCACGAACACTTGTTTTTGCTCCAGTCACATCCAGCTCTAATGCATCTCTGGCACCTGATGATTTGACAAAGAAACAAACAACAATAACAGAATTAGATACTAGTTATTAGTCAGTTAATATAATTATTTTCATAATTTAATGATACATATATATATATAGAGTAATATTATTTTGTACATAGTACATAAATACTTATAGACCAGTGTTTGCCACTGGGGGACCCATATTTTTAAAGTCGCGACCCAAGTCATTAAACATTATTCGTAAACTCTTAGGAAACACAATGTGAGACGACCCAAAGAAAAATCTTGTGACCCACCTGAGGGTCGCGACCCAGTCTTTGTGATACAGTGATATAGACCATCTGTACCATGTATACTCACAGAACAACACTTGGAGGTCCTGTTATGTCGGAGCAGTTGTTCAGCACCACCGGTTCCAACAACATTATTGTCCCAAGTCTGATCCTCACCGTGATCTTCAGGCCTGACGTAGCAGAAAACAAAAACAAACAAAAAAAGCATCACAACTGCACATCAGACAACACATTTGAATTTCCTATTATTTTTTAAAGATCCCAGTCAAACTCCTCTTCAAATCAGTGACAGAATTCCAGACAGTTTGAAGTGTTTTTAGTTAAATATCATTACATCTGCTTGTCCTTGGGATTTTATGTCAAAAATTAAATGAGTAGACACTAATAAAACACTCAGATGTACATTTGTTACATCCTGTCTGTACAAACGTCCACTGTCGACTCTTACGCTCCCTGTCGTTCATATTAAAAATAGTGTGTGTGTGTGTGTGTGTGCCACTAATAAAACACTCACATTTGGATAAACACATTTGGTACACACATTTTATTATTTATCAAAAACAACTCACCTTTAGAGGGAAGGGTGATATTTCTCAGGGTACAGATGCATTCTGGGAAATGTGGAGGAGGTCCACCCTGGTCACAGGGTGAATTGGACTCAGCCGCAAACTCACAGGTGAAGTTGGACATGGCCCGCGGGCCTGCAGTCACATGTGTCTGGATGTTCAGAGTGATCTGAAAAAAGAATTTATTATCAGTGAGTGGAGGAAAAAAAAAAACCAAACAGAATTTCCAGGTTAAACCATTCAATCTGTCTCGTTTCTCACCTGGCCTGTCGCCTCCTCCCTTGCAGTACCGTAAGAAACCATTCTCTGCTGTAAGTCGTCAGGAATGGAAACCCAGTCTGAATCTGAACAGTCATCTACAAAAGTGCAGCTGAAGGCGGAAAAAAAAAAAAACAACCCAACAACACATCAAGTGGACGTTTTTCTCATTAAAGCCGATGGTGACGTCACTCCTCTCACCTGGTCTTGGAGCCGCACCAGACACAGTGTGGATCCTGTGCAGACCAGCAGTCGTGCACATCCGTGTATGTGCTGCATCTGGACACAGGTACACGCCTCATCTACAACACAACACAACGCTTCCATTTAACCCCACAGACGAACACGGCTGTGTGTGTGTGTGTGTGTGTGTGTGTGTGTGTCTACACTGTTCAGTACACACCTCGTTTCCCAGCGGAACATAAATGTGTCGATGATCCACCTGGTCCATTAGTAATTGGTGGAACACCCGGCGGTCGTCTCTGGCTCTGTACAGCACGATGGCACAGGAAATGCGAAGGTGTTTGTCCACTGCAAGCTGACAACAATAACAATAACAATAACAGTGTTATTTATTTACATTTACATCAACTAAACATTTCAGTTGTTTTCTCTGGAGGTGTTATTTATTTACATTTTTTTAACTAAACATTTCAGTTGTTTTCTCTGGTTTCAAGGAACAGATCTGACGGATTCTAAACTAGTTTTAAATGTAAGTTGTTTAATTAATGCCAAGAGTGCAGTACACTTTTTTAGAAAGTTATACTGAGCAGCACTATTATTATTTACATTTATTTAAAAGTACAACTCAAAATATATATATATAACTACACACACACATAAATATACAAATATATGTCAATTGTCTAAAACCAATATTTTTGTTTTATCTGTGTGTAAATTAAAACCAGTGAGTTTCAAAATGTCTTTTAATGAAATGTGATTTTTTTTTCTTCCCCAAATCCAAGAAATTTAGTTTGTTTTCGTGACAAAAATATTTTGAATTCCCAGTCAACGAACTGTGTGTGCAGTGGGTTACATGTGACCTCAGTTAACGAATGGTCATGTGATGATGCAGCACTATTTCAAAAAGCTGAGGGCTGAGTCACTGGACTGACTGAACAATGCATTCATTTTTCATTTCCACAATGATAAAAAAAAAATATATAAAAAAGATCTCATGCCCTACTTTAACAGGTCTCTTTAGGACACCTGATAATTTAATTAAATTTTTTTTAAAATATACTTATGCTCTTTCTAACTGTGCAAATAATAATAATAATTATAATAATAACTTGTCTACTAATTAACCACCTTCAGTCCCTACAGGGGGCGATCAAAGACTTACTCAAGACATTTATATTTACATACCAGCCTTTAAATTTGTTCAAAACACAGTATAAAATTAAATTATCTATTTTTGAAATTATTTTTGCAGAAGCAGCTCCTGTCATTTCCACTTTCATATTTCTTCAATAAGATATATATTTATAATATTTGCTACAGAATACATTGACAATTCTGCCTCATCCTCTGCTGGTGAACATGAAAGGTCAAGACAGGACAACTTGTCCAATACAATTTAAATGCAATTTTTTCAAGTGTATAAGTGTGTATTAAACAGTTATATTTTACTTTCAGTATAAATATGTAAAAAAAAAAAAAAAGAAAAAAAGATATAAAATCCCTCTGATCTGTCAGAGATCTTATGAAAAACTTCAGATAAACCCCTCTGATCTGTCGGAGATCTTATGAAAAACTTCAGATAAACTCAGCATGAAAGAGTCCACTGTATCTGAAAGGGAAAAACTACAGAGCTTCCAGACTTGTGTTGAATTCTTTCATCATGTGACTGAACATGTCTGAGTGACATAAGAGTGCCACGGAGAATTGTCTTTTTGAATGAGACTTGAACAGGGGGCTCAGTGGTTCAGGAAGTGGCCTTGGGTCCAGAAGGTTTCAGGTTTGAGTCTACCACTGAGGTGCTCTGAGCAAGGCACCGTCCCCACACACTGCACTTAAAGCTGCCCACTGTTCACTTTGGTGATGGGTTAAAGGCAGAGATCACACTTGTGTGCAGTGGTGCAGTGGTTACAGTGGTGTGCAGTGTCACTATGACAAGTAATCCACTTCCTTTTCCACTTTCCTAATTTAATACACACAGCATCAGTGCTCAGGCCATGGAGCCAGTAGAATACTGTAATGGTCCCACTCTGGAGGTAGGTCTGCTGGAGATGCTCACTTATATATAAATGCTATAGAAAAAAACAATAACCAGAGAAGTCCGATAATATCGGCCGACCGAAATTATGAGACTGATATTAGCATATTACGTAATATCTGTAAGAATCGTAGAACGTAATACACGGGTTTCACCAAATGATGTGCGCCCTAAAAATAGTTTTGGGGATAAACGGCTGTATATTAAAGAATGAAAGTCACTAGATGGCAGCATTGCAGCTCATTTAATTAATCTCATACTCATATGGTGGCTTGTACAGATAAATAAATAAATATTATCGGTATTGGTCATATCGTAATTGCAAATTAAGTGTTTGGTCAATGTCAGCATCTCAGTTATCGGCAAAAAGTTAATATCGGACATCCCTAAAAAATAACCCTTCTCAAATGGTGATTCTGCTGCATTCGTAACACATTTTTAAAAAAATATCGATTCATTAAAATATATTTAGTTTCACTGTATAGATTTCTTTTATTACCAATTCCATTACATTGTTTAAAAAAACCTCAATATATCACTGCGCCTACAGTAACGCAGCATATCACAATATATTGTACTGTTGCCCCCGTATCGTGAGACAGTACGTATCGTATATTCTTGCCAATGCACATCCACAGAAACGACTCCAGCTCCACATTCTCTGATCTACTAGAACAGACAGACCTTGATGAGTTGTCCATCCTCCATCCCGATGAAGAAAACCATCCAGGCCTTGTTCCTCACAGCCAGCACGGAGGTCATGTTGTTCTTCCTGAGCAGCACTGCCCTGGGCCTCAGTATCTTAGGCACAGACTGTAGAAAAACAGACAAGGAGAAAGAAGACACATTTTCAGCTAATATACAAGAGGGGGCGCTCTACCTTGACTTCCACTGCACACTGACACCACTTGACTTAAAAAATAGCTACAGGCTGTCGAAAAAGCTAGCCATATTGCTCACAATTGTACATCTGGGTAAAGGGGTATATTGTATTACAATGGGAGTAAAAGGAAGTATCTCTGCTGTACTTTCCACATCCTAAATATGTATTTCGATTTTGACTGTGTGGACATTGTTTAAGTGACATGTATACTGTTGAATACTTTCACTTCCAGGTGACATTGATCAGTTGATTCATTTTGTGAATAACCCAACGGTACTAAGTATTTGCAGTACAACAGTAATAAGAGAAACTAACAAATTTGCAACAGGTCATTCGCGGCTAATGTAGTCTCTTAATCCAGAATACTGACAAAGTGGTTGATTTTCAGATTTGTGATTTTTTAGTATCAAAATACTTTATTAAATAATTTAATTCTAATGATTCTTTAAAAAAAAGTTTTTTGTCTTAAGGAGTGCACTGAGTGGAGCCTTTAAAAAGTCATATAGAAATTTGGTCCTATCTGGACTCGAACCCCTGCCCTCTCACCGGGTTGTGGGCGGTACATTGACTGCAGAAGTCTGGATCTTTATCAGGAATTATGGACATATCCGGGGTGATGTCGAACAGCACCAGCTCCGTGTTGCCTCTTGAGCTGAACACGCCGCCCCACAGCACCTGGTCCGCGCCTGGGACCACCGAGGACGCCACCAGTCTGTGGGTTTGACCAGCAGAGCCATCGACAACAAGTGTGGCCCCCCTCAGCGAGCGCATTACGTGGCTCTTACTGATTCTGCCTTCGAGCCAAAGCAGACGCACGTTGTTGCCCAGGTTAGAGAGCACATAGATGGTGGAGTGGACCTGGAACCCGTCCACGAACTCCACCTCGCCACCTTTATGTACGACGAAATTAGTCTCGTGATCACCACTGAATGAAAATATCTCATCCGGTTTACTGTAGTCCGTGTTCTGGAGGTTGATGGTCTTGGCGTCGGACGCGCAGCTGCTGGTGCACGACTCGCTCTGACCGATGGCGGTCAGAATATAAGTGTCAGTCTTCCCCGCTGTTCGCGTTACCTTGACTAGGATCGCCACGGATGTTGGTGCCACAGCTGAGCTGCACCGGTCCCACTCCAGAGGACCCACCTGAATGGTCTCATTGTACCGCAGGATGGAGATGTTGCTCTGGTCCAGAATCTCACAGTGGCCGCACTTATTGTTAGTCGCCCCGCAGCTGATCACGGAGTTCGCCCCCTCCACCGGTAACAGCACGTTGATTCTGAAAGTACCGTTAGCAAACGTCGCCTCCGGAACCCGAGTGAACAGGATCACACCTTGCTGCGGTTTCCTATTCTTCAGGATTCCTTTTAGAGTCAAGCTCTGGTTCAGGGTCAAGTCATGGTTCAGCTGGTACAGCCTTTCGTTCGTGGCCACGTAAACCGTGTTTGTGGCAACGGCGTAGACGCGGACGTCACCGTCGAAGGTGGCAGAGCCAGCGTCCTCGAACACACACCGGCACCGCTCCCCCCACAGGACCAACAGCATCACGGAGAGCAGAAACATCCCGAGGCAGCCTATGGTGGACAAACGCAGACACAGCGACCTGCATGACACTCCAGTGTGGCCGCACAGTCACTGCAGCCTTGCGTAAAAGCGCACAGCACTTGGGTGAAAAGGAGAAGTGCCAGGGATGGGAGGAGGCGCGCAGTGACATTAGATGTTCTGATGATCTGGTGAAACAACGCATCGTTACTGACAACGTCCTCGGTACATTATTACGTCACCCCAACAAGTTCTTATGAAATATTACTAAACACATTTTTGGCGCAAAAGAGATCGATGTGAAAGTACCCGTGTAAACAAGTACTACAAATACTACATTACCCCAAAAACTCTACAAACCGAAATATCCGTATGTTTGACCTCCATTATCTGTTCTGTCGTAATACAACCCTTGTTCTGCTTTTCTTTCTTTTCTTTTCTTTTCTTTTTTTTTGGGGGGGGGGGGGGTGCTGCCACATGTCTCCAGGTTTTCCCCCAGTGTAAAGTATCTTATCTAATCTACAATATCTAAGAAAGTATCACGTTTAAACACTACATACTTTAATCTTCAAATGTGCAGCATTTTAATGTCAGTTTTACTTGTGAAATATACTTTTTCAAATTCCACTTTTTTTCTTCACATTTTAAAGTCTGACACATGTTACCTTTGACCTTTGATAAAGTCTTAATCTAAATTGATTAGCCATACTTTTAATAAAATTACTACATATTGTATTTCCTGCACCATGTACCTGTCTGTCTTTTTCTTGCGATTATATTATACAGTATATACAGATTATACATATATGCATATATACGGACACATATATACATACATACAAATATATTTGAAGTATACCTATATTCTGGAGCCAGTAGAATATATAGTCCTTCCTAGTGACGTGGGGAGGGGATAATGTAACGCGATCTTGTCGCCACACTCACACTTTAGGTCGCTATAGAGACAACACTTTTCCTCCAATCCCGTTTGTTTTTGAGCCGTAGAAGAAAAACTAGAGTAACTAAAGTACACGGAGAGATTCCGCAATACACAGGCAAAACAAACGTAGAGTTTTGTGGAATATAGGAATTATCAAACTCGCCCGACGGTCATGTGGACGGTGTCAAGGTTTTGCTTTGGGTCAACATTGCCACCATGTGGACAGCCTTGAGATGTACGCCTGCTCTCGTCAACTTACTGTAGTTCATGTCATTTACATTTAAGTTCACTGTTTTAATTTCAAAGACACAAAAAAATAAAAATCACACGAAGACATATTGAAATAAATAATTCCTTTAAAAGTTTTAAAAAACGGAACTCGACTACCTGTAATAAGTGGTGCTTTGGCCCAGAGGCAATGTCTCTGTCATTGGTGTGGAACCCCCAGGGGTCACCTCCTGGGCAAGTTCGAAGCCCGGTTAGGGCGGTTAATACCTTCCAGTGGACTCACCACCCGCAGGACGGTTTAGGTATGGTGCAATGTGATTTGGGTGGCGACTGCTGCCCCCGCAACCCGGTAACGGATAAGCGGATGAAAATGGATGGATGGACTACCTGTAATACAATCAGTTCCCCTTTCTGGTGCGAAGGGAATGCGCACGCGGAACCGAGAGACTACGGCGTCCACGAAACGTCGTGAATCACTTTTTAATATGGGCGGGGTTTAAGTTACTTCCTCACAAAGTGAAGTTCATATATTACTACGCAACACATTTGTACCAGCATCCAAATGGAAAGTGCGTGAATATCGTGTTATCGTGTGTTTTTCACCTTCCGCCGCTTGATGTCGTTGTCCCCCAGCTTGAGGAACACACAGCTACTCAGCAGCGGCAGCACCAGTGGGAGATCACCGCGTGAGAAACTCCAGCTGCTCCGCTCCATGTATTTCCACTGACCCTGCTCCACAGATCCATTCATCCCACAGTCACAGCTGCTGCTCGGTCACTCCGCTCACCCTCCGCCCGTCTCTCGGTGTCGGGTCCATCCTGCACTGCCTCCACACAAGTGCTGCGACCGCACACCTGGGAAGGTCAGGTATCCGTGTCTGAAACCAGCAGAGCTGACAACAACTTGGTCCTCCTCTGTCCAGGGCTACATCTACCGGACTTCATCGCAGCGGTTTCTGGTGAGTCTTTTTTTCTGGTTCTTCTTCTTCCACGGTCCGTGTGGAATACACTGTTCCGTGTTGTTACATCAGAGGATTCCGCATCTTTTTGGTTTCAGTAAAACCTTTAGGACAGAGGTCTCTCAGAGGAATTTAAAAAAAAACTACGTATTTTTATATTGACATCATTTGGATATTTTAGTGGCCAACTAATCGACGAGTCATGATTATTTTAAACGGACGATGATCGATTCTACAAATGTTCTATATTATACTGTACAATTGAAGTTATTGAAACATTGTATGTTTTGCCATGTAAAAAGGTAAATGACCTATCAAAACAAAAGCTTTTCTTTTTTTTTTCTTAAATTTTGAAACAACTCTTATCTTTCTGTTCTGGATTGAAATCAGAGTTCCGCTCAGTTCTGTTGTCATCCTGAGATTACAACATCAAATAGTTCATGTTTTTACAGATGTATATGTTTCACGTATACTCTGTAACTGTCTGATGATTCACAGTTGATAAATCTCTAAATCAGCGTCACCTAATTTATTCTTCAGCAATAAGGCAGTTTTTCTTTTTTTCTTTTTTTAGAGAAGTGTCTCGTGTCCGTCTTCATGAATATGCAGCCTCCTCTTACTCAGCTGCTTGATGCCCCTTCGTCGCCCCCACTTGGGTTTGAAGGACGTGATCAGCATTCATGTGCAGATCTGATCGTTGCAAAACAAAAAAGAGCTCAGGCGTCCGTCACTGCACATACTTGTGAAAGCTAGGGTCCGCGGGGCTCGAAGCAGTCCAGAGTGAGGTTCGATGCCGCGATTGATAGAATCTCCATAGACACGTAGCCTTTGGTGCTGATTCACACGTCAAGATAAGGTGATCACTGTGGAACAGATCACTGTGACCTGTAGTGATCGTGTTGATTCAACTACAGTGAGACAGGCGGTCGACTGTCTTCTGTTCTTATCAGGTGTTTCCTGAGCGTTTGTTCAAAGTTTGGTTTCTTTAACAGTCAATAATAAGGAAATAGTGATCTGAGAGATGGGACTTGATGGAACAAGTTCAAAGTCCACCAGCGTCAGAGACTGTGAGTCGACACTGATGATACGCAGTCATCTGACTGTTAACTGTTGGAGAGGTAGTATTTTTCTAAGGAAATCTGTAGCCTCAATAGTAATGTTACAGATTATTAGAGGAGCAGTATATCGTATTGTGGCCCGTATCGTCATACGTCAGATTTTTGTCAATACACACCCCTACAGATTATTATAATTTTGATAAATGTCTGTCTTATATATTATTAACTATAGAAATAAAAGTCAGTGTATGTTGTTCTGTCATGTATTATAATCTGATGGTAAAAAATAAAGAAGCTTCTCTCAGCTTTTCTGCCTGGTCGTCATCCACAGGCCGTGCACCGCTCTCCTCCGTCTGCATGTTGATGACAGGCCTGTGGTCGTGCAGTCTTTCTATAGCCTGTGGTGCTGCAGGTCTCCTCCCAGGGTTTGGACCTCGGAGGTCTGTAATCTGCCTCAGCCACAGCACCACCACCCAGATTCATTTCTCAGGGTAAAAAAAAAAAAAAAAAAAAGGCACATATTTCAGCTGGGCACAGGGGGCAGCAGGGAGTAAAATCGCATATGTTTTAGGTTAGGGTTAAAAATGTCTTTGTAATTAATCACCGGTCGGTGAGAAGAGCAGTCAGTTACTGCATATGATGGATTGTCAAGTAATTATTAAATAAATATTTACTTTTTGCAGAAACCTTGTTTTTTGCAGCCATTTCACCGGTTGTCTGAGTAACGAACATGACTATCCCATAATAGTCAAGAGTGTGAGCGCCCTCTACTGTTCTCCAACACCGGTGGTCGATCGGGGTCCATCGTGTTGATTGCGATCACTGTTCCATCGATCTGTGCATCGATCCTGGAAATGTAAAATTCAAAAACGTATAATTATTATCAAACGTAAATCCCCCTGCTGGTGTAAAGATGAACTGTCTGTCTGACATTTCTGAAGAAGTAATAAGAAGTTCTGTCTTCACACTGTTTTGAGCTTTTTTGATTTCCTGGCTTGTGTGTACCATGAAAAGAGAGAGAGATGTCGGTCTCGGAACCTTCAAGGTCAGTTTGATGTTGACGAAGGTTTGGATTAAAACAGACCTGTTGTGATGAAGGGGGGAAACTTAGGGTCAGGAGCAAAAGTGTTCAAAGTGCCGCGCAGGTGGCAACGGTTGTGTGTGTTTGTTTGTAGAAGCGATGGAGAAGGAAACGTTGACGGTGAGTCAGTGTGATGATGGGTGGAGTGGGTGGAGTCTATAAATGGTAAAATGGAAAGAAGAATGACCAGAGAGGAGCCAGAGTTTGAGAGTTTGCTGCATGTTTCTCTGTCTCTCCATCACTGGTGTTTCCCTTCTGCTGCGTAGGAGAGCAAGGGATCGCTTTATTGAGGTGTGTGTGTGTGTGTGTGTCTGCCCACAGCGTATGACTGATACAGAAAGCAGAAAACGGAAGCAGATGCATAAAAGACAACTCTCATGTGCTGCAGCAGAGAGCGTCCGTGGGCAGCAGCTCTTTCTCCCATTCATTCTGAACAAACTGAGGCTGTGTTTATTTTTGCTTCACAGCTTTGTCAACCCGTGGCCGTGACCAGTCCTTTCATTACAGCATAATGAAACGGACGTGATACCAACGTAACACACACGGCTTTAAAACCTGATTTCTGAATCGGTCCTTTCTACAGCAGCAATAATTCAATAATCCAAATAGAGAAAGGAGGCGTGGCCTAGTGGCCTCTTTTTTTAGTTTTTTAGTTTTTTTAGAGTTTGTGTAACAAGATGAAACTCATTACTACTGCACTGTAGAACGTGTTTCGACTGCACATCAAAGACTTGTCTAAACTCCTCAAACCTAACTGAACCTCCACCTTAGCTGCAGATAGTTGTAATTAAACTAACAATAGGTTGGTCTTCAGTGACTGAAAAGTTAGAAAGTGGCCACCGAAAAGACTGGGGGTGAAAGCTGAGTTGGTTTAACGATTCTTCCTGAGTCGCGAGATATGGATCATTCAGGTCATTTCAATCACAGGTGTCGGCTTGTTTACAGTCATGAGGTGAAGTATGGGTTGCTGAAGAAAGAGAGAGGGAAAAAGAGAGAGAGAAAATAACTGTGCTGCTGGTTTGTTTTCTTATTAAACAGACTTGTCCCTGGTTGTTTAACTGGGCTATATTTGTGTTTTGTGTTTTTTTTTTCAAGTTCAGCTGTGTGTGTGCGTGCTTGTGTGTGTGTGTGCTTCCCTGCTCCCTCTGTCTTCATACTCATTTATCAGACATTTCCATCTGCTACACACCTGCACAAACCTGGTCAGTCAGTCAAGGCTTGAACAGAACACACTGACCTCACTGTCTTTTTTTTTTTTTTACCATGAGCTCACCGTGGTGTTTTACACTGAGACTTTATTATGTCTGGGCTCTGTGTGGGTTATCTCCATCACATGGAGAGTGTGGCGTGTGAGAGGGTTTATTAAATCTCTGCAGGAATAATAATGTCAAATTATTTTTACTTCCTTAGATTAAAAGTATATTTGATATTTATTATTAAATACATTGCAGAACAGTGTGTAATAAAAAAATGATTAACATATCAACAAATGTATTTAAAAAAAAATAAAATAAAATCTGTTCTATCTGAGCTAAAAAGAATGTTTCTTACCTGTGTGTGTAAAGAACAGTGAATAGAAATGGACCAGAGCCAGAAGTCACCGAGGTAAAAATGGTAAATGATTTATTTTTGGGGTTCATTTATTTATAAATCTGACTCTGTGGGAGTCTTTGCCTCACCTGCCATGAACCTCGCCACACGCCGCTGGTTGTTTTATACCAGTTTTTTTCTTTCTTTTCCCCCAGTCACACGTCACGGTATGACACTGTATATAAAAATGAAAATCAGTGAATGAGTCATTAACTTCAGTGGCGAACCTCGCCACGGCCTGACACTGAAAATAAAAATGAAATTCAGTGAATGAGTCATTAACTTCAGTGGAAACAACATATCATCAATGAAAAAAAAAGTCAAAACCCTAACTCACCAATGACATGATTCACTGATCTTTTCCTCAGACCCCTCCCTGGATGGATGGTTGAACTGGGAGCTTACTGATTGGCTCGCTGAGCTTCGTCGGTCACAGCCGCTGCCATGGCCAAAAGTCCGGAGGTTAAGCTGGCTGTCTTCGGCAGAGCAGGGGTCGGCAAATCAGGTAATCTGCTGAGTTTACTTTGCACAAGATGGAGGTTCTTTTAAAATCCGTCTTACCACCGGGTTAATGTCAGTATGAAGAACTGTTGGTGACACTGATTCCACTGCAGTGTTTTTTTAAAGATGATTTCTGAGGGATGTTTGAAAAACAAGAGTTTTGTGCGTATACGTCTGCTTTGTTAACTTTTATATCTGTCAGTGTTTTAAAAAACTTGTATATTGCAAAATATTGTATTGTTGCCACGTATCCTGTTCCAAGATTCTTGCCAATACACACCCCTGGTGTCTATTGTTGGCAATTGCGTGAATAGTCAACCTTACAGTAGGAGGTTGGTTGTTTAGTCATGCTAGAATACCTTCACTCCTACAGGCATGTCTGTTGAGTCATTACTGTGTGGGTTTAGCTTTAGCTTTAGCAGCAGCAGCAGATCAACTTCAGCCGTTCAGCAGCTCCGTGTGTTTTCTCCAGTTGCTGGAACAGTAACACAGACCACATGGTTCCTGCCAAATACAAACCAAGACATATTGCTTCTGTGTCTCGATCAGCAGTGTGGGATTTGGTCCGTATTGGAGGAGGTCATTAAAAAGCTGGAGGAGCACAACACCAGTACTGTTCCAGAGGCGGGAGTGAAAATGACTCCTCTCCATCACCTTCATCATTACCTTCAGTTTAAAGGGTTTGGGCTATAAAACTAGGCAGTGAGCCAGTTCAGGTCTGTTAGCAATCTGCAACACTTGGAATCTGGAATCAAAGACCTAGGATCTGTAAAAAAAAAGAAAAAAAGTCCTTTAATAACATTTTATTATTGTTATTCGACTGTTTACATACAAAAAGTATGGACTGAACTTCGACATATTCCTGTTTCTTGTGTAAAATGACAGCAACAGAAAACACGGAGGAGAAACGGTTGCTAGGTAGATTTTATATTTTCCAAGAAACCTGTGTTGGAGTGAGCTTCACCTAATGGTAAATGTATACACTAAATCCCTCTTAAGCCCGTCATGTCACCTCCCTTTGGCTTAAAGAGGTTTCAGGTGATAAATCATTGAAAACATCTGCTTTAACTAAGCTCTAAAGTGTAATCGCTCACAGAGTTGTCTTTGATCTGAGCTGGCTCCAAGTACAACTGAAGATACGTTGTGGTACGCGGTTGACGACAGCTGACCTTCCACCTCCGTGTACAGCCGTATGTTCTACTAAATGTTCAGTAGACAGAAAAAGCGCAATCTACAAACTCTGTGAATAACTAAACTGACACCGCTTCCAAATATTAGCTTTAAAATAGGCGGTACACGGTGGGAGAGCGTGAGCGTTCGTTCTTTCTGTATGGACCGTGGATGTTCTTTCCGTGTGTGTATTTGTGTAGCATTAGATTAACTGTTCACTCTAAATTGACCAGAGCTATATGTGTGATGCATTGGTGAACTATCCAGAGTGTACCATGCACTTTTGTGATGTACGACGATGACGGACAACATTTTTGTTTTGTTAGCCCAAAAAAAAGTTGTCACCTGCTGCATTTATCCATTTACAAACACAACACTTATAACTAGGAACGTGAGAAAAGATCAATAATCCTCTGACCTGAACCAGTGCTAACAATTAGCAGAGGACCTTACTTTGAGCCTCTCAGTTTATTGACCTAGCTAAGGGAAACCTTATGACCCTGGGAAATAAGATGAATTTGTCCAATTATTGTACGGCCACTTGGAACACAGACACAGAAATGCACTGTGGACCAATAACAACAAAGTAGGACTATCCTATCGACTGGGCAAGTCAATATAAACAACAACAACAACAACAACAACAAAAAACAGGGGCATAAAACATTGGTGGAGACGAGCATGAACTGATACAAAGATCAAATGTCTTGGACTGGAGATACAAATTAATTCTGTGGTGCTTCTCAACTCAGAGCTTTTAGCATCTCGGAGCTAATTGCTTTGAGTTAATGTCTTTTCCCTGTTGTCGTGCTTTTCTGTCTCCACTGACATCGGATTAATTTTTCTAGCAGACACTTGGGAATTAAGTTAGAGAAAGAAGAAACAACAGAAAACATAGAACTTGAACCATATAACCAGAGTATCAACGATCTTAAACATAACGTGAAAAAATTACAGACGACAGTTTCAAACTATGGTGAGCAAAACAGGTCACAGGTCGCACTGTTGCTTTTCCCCAAACGGTTGAATTGTTGAATTGTTGAACATTGAATAATGCCGTTGCTTTTAAAAAAAGACATTTACAAACCCTTCAGTGAAACAGAAAAATCAGTTTGTCAAACTAGAGAACCAACAACACATATTCATTTTTAAACTTTTGACCAGAACGTGCGCATAAAAGAACCAGTCTTGTTGCTCCTCAAACATTTGGTCTCCACCTAGCCTGTCCGATGGTCAGAGAGCGGAATAACAAAAGAGCGAGCCAAAGCACCTCTCCTTCAGAAATACTACCGTTCACTACACTTCCCAAGACTGGAAAGGTGCCATGAATCTGCCTCACAGTCCAGAAGTTGAGCTAAACAGGCAGGCGTGACAAATCCACACACGGCACAATGCAGCTGGACTGGTAGATGGACAGCTACTGTGCTGGACAGAGAAAACTTGGATTTATGAAAGAGGCCCCGCTTAAAGTAGCAACGTAGGGAGTGGCGTCTCTTTGAAAATCCCCCACACGGTCCACTGTCCACATGTCTGACCATCGGCAGAACACACGGCTGTGAGTATATGTAGAAAGAATCTACACGTTATCATCGTTTCTGTCTTTCAAAGGTGGTTGTAATGTTTAAGGGAGAGAAATGTTAACACAAATTTAATTGTACCAGCACTCCACCCATGAACAGGAGCAATGTACTAGCATTTACATGACTCCCTGTGGTGCAGTGGTCGAGACCTAGATGGGATGGGGGTGGAGGAGGGTGAGGGGATCTAAAGATTCTTCATATATTAAAAAAAACCATAAAAATACAAGCCCTATCTTCGTATAATTTTATTAAGAAATTCTTCTCACTCAGACGAGGACGGCTCTGTTTCAAAGCAAACAACTTCCTACATTTTCCTACATATTTTACATATTTATGTTATAGTACATTGTTCCGATTTACTGCAAAACGTTTTTGCTGCAGGATCACAAAGCATCTCAGAAGTCCTGAATGTTACGAATGTAAAGACTTAGCCTGAAAGCTTTTTTCTTTTGATTTGTGGTTTTTTTTTGTGTGATTTTTTTTGTATTTTGTGAACCTGCAGTCTTTTTGTCGTTTGCTCTGTGGCAGAAAAGTCTCGCAGCAGTGGTTCAAACTGTGTAAAATGCCAGATTATTGACTGATACAGGATTTCTGCGGCGAACCTGTAATACTTCAAACACCTACTGTGTGTAATGATGGTACTGGATTAGAAATTTAGAAGGTTTTTGTTGGAGCTGTGGTACCGCTTCAGTTGCATGTAGCATATTTGGAATAGATGTAGCAAAAAGAAAAAAAAATAACTTATTGTTCAGGTCATATGTGAAGAAAATGAAGAATGAGGCATTCAGGCATTTTTCTTCCGCCCAGAACTCACAGTGAATGTTATTCAGACGGTATCAAGGACATGAATCGATTCAGAAAGTTACAGCCTTGGATAATGTTTACATGTTATTGTTTGAATCTAAGGCCACGGCCAGATGACAGGCAAACAGGAGTTTTCTTAATTCATAATTTTTCAAGCCATTCTCATGTGGCAGATTTTGTCAGTTTGGAGGTGGTCGCGCTACCCACACATGATGGCGGTTGTTGAAGCGTTTTCCCTTCGGTCTTTTGTCCAGTTATTTTTAGTTCACACCGTCAACCTTCCGCAGCCTTCACATGTTGTCTATTCTCCACTTAAGTGCCCTGATTGCTGCCGCAGTCCTCAGCAGGCGTGAGTCATCGGCGGACGCTCAACTCCTTTGCTTTTAACAATGCAGCTCTCAGGAGATTAGGGCTTTTTAAATATTCACACTGCATCCATTAAGTACTTCCTTTTTTTTTTCTCTCCTCAAGCTGCTTCACAGTTAATATTTAACACGCGGAGACACGGATGGTTATGTTTGATTGATTGATTGACGACGGCACGCTTTGTGGATTTTTATGGTGTGATTAAGAAATACATCGAGTAAATCAGTCAACTGATGGTTAATTAATAGCACATTTTCATTCACAGTTTCATTGGAACTCAGTGAAAATAAATCTCAATATATCGCTGTGCCTATGGTATCGTAAGTGCCCATGTATCGTGATACGTATCACATCGCCAGATTGTTGCTAATACACCGCCTCAACAGTGACCAGGGAAAGACAGCTGTGAGCTGTGGCTCCATCTTGGTCATACAGGGTTTGACCATTACGGCAGCAGTCGCAGTGAAACCCCCACTAAGGTGGAGCGTCTCAGCTCAGCTGCCTCACACATGGCTCTTCCAAAATACTGCTGTAGATCTATTGTTAGACTTAATAAAAGGGATGAATGCATTGTCGGAATCCTCACGCCCTTCCCGTTCTAACCACACAATTGCGGGCCACCGTCCTGCTGCATCCACACTGCCATGTGAAATCAAAGGATCGCTGCTGTCCCATTTACCCGAGCCGCAGGTCCCGCAGGAGAAGAACTGCCACCCCCTGGTTTTCTGCTCTGCCATTGTGTGCACAAGGAGTTAGTCCAGAGTGGAGCTCAGGGGAGTTGGTCTGACCTTTTTATTATCATTCACTCTGAACTTTTGAGTGCAGAGACTGGCCTCTCTCCAGGAGGCAACAGTCAATTCTATTTGAACCAGTTTGCAAACAAACAACTTAAGATTTTAAAGAGAGTCAGCCGATCAGTCGGGGGAAACATTTTTGAATCTCGATGACAAAGCATTGCCAAAAATACTCTTTCTTGTTCTATATTTAGTGCGGCTTAAGAGACATTCCTTTATTTAATTAATGGATCATATGATGCTTTTTATGGAGCCAGATTTCTGTGCTCTGCACATTTGAATAAAACCAAAAACACAAAAGTAAATGTAATCATTTTAATTCTAGTCCTGTGCTGCTACTGGTGATATGATACCGTACTTTTCATGTGCTGATCAAGTCAAATTTAAGTCGGATTTTTTTTTTTTACATCTGGTCCAAAACCAGCAGCCTGTCTATTCACACAACTACAGTAGTTTAAAGCTAACAGTGAATTAGAGCAGCTGAGGAAAGTGAAACACTGCCGACGTCTGATGGTTTTATTTATTGTGAGAACTCGAGGAGCCCGAGGAGGAAAACACACCAAGTGGCCCGACTGCACTGGTGTGACGCAGCGAGTTTGTTTACAGCACAACAAACTTTAATTATAGGCTGTCTGCCAGTGAGGAGGCTGAGCACGCTGCTGCTGAAACAGACATGCTAACGTTCACTGCTGGTCGTCGCCCCAACAACAACAACATTAGTTTTTATTGTTCTGTTTATCACATGGTCCTGCTGTTCAGACTCAGACACTCATTTATTTTACAGGCTGGACTAGTTGTCAGACGTACAGTAGCTCAGTAACAAGAGGAGCAGTGATGCAGAAACCAGGGGGAGGAGGAGAGAGTTGATGGTTCACTTTACCAGTTTGGTTTCTGCACCAGTCACTATTGAGCCTCACATGTAATTTAAGATTTTCACAATAAAACAACAGCAAACGTTCACACCTCGCCACCGTCCCGTCGTCGGTCAGCAGACGTACAGCTGATCATTTTGCAAAAACGTCCTGTGTCAATGTTTAAATCTGGTTCTTTTACAGATTGATAAACACTGTTGTCTTAGTTTTTATGTCTTTCTGTCACAGCTCACTGTTGACCCTTATATGGATACTACCCAGAATTCCCCAGACAACGTTTTTCTTCCAAGTAAAATGTGTGTCTGTGATTGGCCCAGGCAATAATTCTATTTCTTATGGGAGCTGACATGTTTACTGTTGCCTTGCGTGTTGTTGTTGTTACTCTGCTGACTTCCTAATTCCCACATCCATCCATGCAACCTATTGGCCAGAGCCCAGAATAAATCCCAATGAAGCCTGATTGTAGAGCAGCGGTTAGATAAGACAAGATGTCCGACTCCATCTCAGTTATGTTTGGCTGGGACGGTGGTGGACGGTTTAACTCTCAACAATCACTGCTCCACAAGGAAACACAAACAGATCACCAAATTAGACACGTCACTGTCATCACTACTGCACGTTCCACAGGGTTTCAGTGTTAGCTGTCTGGGATGCTGACATGCCCAAGGGACAGACGAGCGATGAAAGGATTTCTGGGAAAGTTCGACAACTGAAAAAAGTAGCCTGACCTTCTGTACAGGAAGTAGTTTGGGCGTTTTTCATGACAATTTGTTTGCCTGCTTCATGCATCAAGACTTCAAAGTCAGTGCCTTCGACAGTATAATTGTAACGACATAATAAAGAGCTAAAGAACGCAAGGACAACAGTGAGGAGCACAACATACATCCTCACACAGTTGGACAGGTCTGACATTGTCTTTTTGGTGTATATATATCGTAGTCAAACTGCATTTGGACTTTAAGGACCAGTTGGACACATAACTAGAATATGTTCAAGTCTCATCCTTTAAAAAGACTTTAGTCATTCATAGATTACTACTCCTCCCTGGAAAGTACTACAGTCACAAAGAAAAAACAAAACAAAATCACCGGGGATTGAACCCGTGATCTTCGTGCTGTAATGTCAACAGTTCCATCGACCTGTTCACCGTTACAAGCTACAAACCACAGTTCTTTTAGAGTGAAGATAAAACTGGGGCCAATCAACAAAAGGACAGTACTTCTGTCAGGAGGAGTTAACACCAGGATTACATAACCTCAACGTGTCACATGGACGAAGAAGATGAAGAATCTCTGTCAACTGTCAAAGGTCACAGCCTCTCACGGTTACCAACCACATCGGTCAGAAAAATACTTCTAAAGTTTCCATTTAAATCTGTTGGATTGACAAAAATAAAATATCACAGATCAACGTAGTGAAGAAAACAATGTGAGGAAAATGATTAGAAGTGATGGCTGCAACATAAATTGGAATTTTAACACACGGCGCCTCATTATCTCAGAGTAATAAGTGTCGAACTCTTGAATGCGTTTGGCAGGATTCAGCAGTCGACTCCTGACGTCTGTCTAATGGTGGAAAATCTTTTTTTAATACCCCAGTCACAGGCAGCCAGGGCCACATCATTTCTTTTAATTGCAGCTGTGTCTCTGGCAACAGATCAGCAGGGCAACAATTGTCTGCTATTACTGTGAGAGACATGCAGTAAAATCTAAAACAGTGCCGGCTAATGATTTGACTCTTTTCTTTTTTTATATATATATAAAAACATGAGGAAAACGAGGCAGATGCAGCTGTAGCGACACCTCTGGACTAAACACCACATCCACCATGTCTTACTGAACAGAACCTTAAACTAGGGCCTCCTGCTGATCAGATCTGTTTACAAAGAAAGAACTAGCTACAGTGCTGTAAAACATCACAGCCCACAACCCCGTGAATTGAAATAGTATCAGGAGAACCTGATAACGTGTATATTTTTACCTGTACAAACCACTGTATGAGTTACTGCCACCTAGTGACTGGAGGCTCGTTATCATTCAAGCATTACAGCAGTGGTACACTTATGTCCAGCGTACCAAAATCCATTGGAAGCCCCTCAGGTCCCCCTGCCCCCGATACCTCACAGCACCCCGCCCCACTAGTTGAGAAGTATTGCATTACCCACTTGATGAATTGTCGACGATCTCATGATCAGACTAGTTTAACTACACACATAACAGGCCAAATGTCATTTTTTTAAAACAATTTAAACAATCCCTCCTTTCATTTTACCCCCCAGTATATTTTCCATTTTAATGCAATTTTCACATAATTATTCTTCTGATTCCACTGCCTGGTTTTTTTCCAACCTCTTCTTCATCCACTCTGTTCCCATCTTTGTACTCCTTGTCCAGACATAAAGACCGGAGGAATAAAAGTTTACTGCGGCGGCACAACAAAGGGCGCCCATAAGGAAGCCTTATATTGGACATAGAGACAGAGTGGTCCAAGGTGTCTGACGGAGGGCGAGTCTGTGGGGAGTCAACGATAGCTGTTCAATAACCAACACTGAGCAGAAGCCAAGTCACTAATTGCCTTTTTTTGTTTTTGTCCCTCTGGTCCAACTGTCTGGCCGCTAATGCGATTAGATCACTGCAGATTTTAGCAGACGACGCCCACCAGTTACTTGTTTGACATAAATGTGGAGACTTGACGCTGCTGTGTCCTGTGAAGTCTGGACTGTGTGAGACATTTGATAAAAATCTGATCTCTGCTACAGCCCGGTCTTGGGCTGTAGTGTTTGTGGAGGAATATCAAGTTCTGGAAAGTTCCTTCTTTTCAGTTTGTAGGTGGAGGAACATGATCGCAGCGCTGCACCACAGGTGTAACTTTTACAAAAAAAAAAAAAGGAGGGGGGGTCGCTAATTTTCAGTCATGTCCCCGTGTATTTGGGGAGTAAATTAAGTATCAAAATGACTAGAAAAACTGATATCAAGTAGTGTTACAGGTACAGAAAATGACTAGAAAAAACACTGATATCAAGTAGTGTTACAGGTACAATGGGACTGTTATCAGTTCTCCGATCACTGCCCAGTCACTGGATCAGCTGCCTGTGTCACCTGGTCATCTCACTGGTACAGTGCTCACCATTCCTTGTCCAATCCTGCAGTGAATCTGGGCCACAATGTCCATATTCACGCACGTCCACAAAGACTCCTTTCTACTATGTGTACATTTCTTTCCAGTGGCAGTGAAAGGCAGGAGATACGGTTACCTCTAATGAGGAAAGGACTTCACACCCCATTGGCTGTTCTGTTCATCAGGAATTCAGAGCTCTGTAGCAGAAATGGGACGGAGCAGATTCACTAAGAGAAACTCAGACATCACTTCAACGAAGGAATACTGTCTGTGTCTGCAGTTTAAAAGCATGACAAATACTTACTGACAACTCCTCCCTATTTGGAGATGAGTAAAAAAAGGCCAAGAACCAAAATATAAAAAAAAATCTAAGCATCCTTCATAAAGCCAGTATGTTCAGAAATGTATTTGAAATTTCCAAACATTTTGTTCTCTGAATGCGTCTGTAACACCAGAAAAAGCTAGTCATTGTTGTGGTAGAAAGAATTTTTTTTTTGTTTACAGATGGCACAGTTTGTCATTTGTAAGTGAGAGAAACAACAAATTTGACAAATTACATGAGCAATTTTCACAAACTACAACAAGCCAGGGTTGAACTGATTCATTCATTAGTACGTTGGAGTAAACAGGTTGACGTTTTCATCAGCTTACACCGCAAAACGAGAGCTACATTAGACAGAATTGTTGGTCTGACCCCAGTTAGCTCCTGGTGCATCATAGCTCTGCATCACTGCACATTTCTACACTGGTGTTACTCTGGCAAATACCACTGCAGCTCCGTACGAGTCTGGCACTTTCATGCAGCTCATTATTTGTTGACGATGAAGCATTCAGGCAGTGAGTCACTGACCTTCTGGTGATGCTAATGTCTCTGCTGATAAAAGCTGATACTCCAAAGTGTAGACTAAATAGCCTGTATGAGGGAAGCAGCTGGTGACGGACTTCAAGAGCCGACGTCCCCCGGTGAAGCCTGTTTAAAGTCCGCAGTAATTACAAGGAACTGTTAAAGATTGGTATTAGCATTTAGATGAATGGGTTCGTCTAATTGATTCACATTTGATTAGCAACCAAGAAGTGAGACAAGACAAATATGAGAATAATAATGTGATATTAGAAGAACTGTTAACATTTTCACAGATGCAGTATAAACCTCAAAGAGGAACTCTGTGTCTCATCACGTTTTATCTCTTGTTCTCCGCAGCGTTGGTGGTCAGATTCCTAACCAGACGTTTCATCTGGGAGTACGACCCGACACTGGGTAAGACAGTGACAACAACTGTTTTTGTTATCAACAGTATCATGACTGGTACGACTGTGGATCAGTGGGCCGTGCTGTTGTCTTACTCATTTACACACTCAGGGATGTTCAGTTAATAGAAAATAAGTACTTTGTAACAACTGTGAATCTCAAAAGTCACTGGTCATACCATGGAACTACACACTCTAGTACTGTAGGTGGCAGTATTTGGCCTTTGTATTTGGGAATAATTTGTCTGGAGCTAATTTTGTTTAAAAAGAAAAGCGTGATAAAATCATACTGTGACTGAAAAAAAAATACGAATCATATCGTATCGTAAGTTAAATGTTTCTTCTTTGTGACTGAAAAAAAAAAAGAGGAATCACATCGTATCGTAAGTTAAATGTTTCTTCTGTATTTACATCCCTACTGCTGTGTAATGAAACAGTTATTTTCAATAAAAATGAACTATATCAGTTTATTAATTAAATGCAAAAATTAATAAATAACTGCATTTAAAATGATGTAGGTGACAGACTGCACCGTAGCTCTGGTTATTTTAAGCAACACATTAGCGCTCGATATTCTTTTCCTGTCATACCATAGGACCGATGCTCTTACAGATACACTGATGGAAACCGATCCATCTCCCTTCACACTAATTACAGACGTCGTACCTCTTCTGTAACGTCCACTTTGTATTTTCCTGACTGTACAAAGGCGAAGGCAGCCTTTGGGCTGCTGTTCCACTCCACGGCACATCTGTTTTTGCGACATCACAGGAGAACGCAATTACCAGCCGAACCACAACGCACTCAGGAACATAGTCTCTATTTTGAAATCAATCTCCTCGTTGTTCGTGGAACAACAAGATGATCACAATCTTTTAGCCATTATTGAAAAATCAATCCTCGTGGAACAACATGATGATCACAATCTTTTAGCCATTATTGCAGTGTCACATCTTATCACTGTGACGATCAATGCTATTTTTAGCGATGGGGAATGGGGGGAAACAGGGGAGGGGAGAAGGGGGTTTCAAAATAAAGAGTTAAAAACACAGTGAGAAATAATAGCTGCTTACATAAGGAGGTGGCGTCACAACTATGAAATGCAGCCTATTGCACATAAGGTAGGCACAAAAACAGCCAAGTGTCGTCTGTGGGACTCATCAGACTCCATCAGCTAAATTATCCATTATGTCTTTATGGTTGCAGACTAAATTGCAGACATCCTGCAGGCAGAGCAGAGGAGGTGCTGGAGATTAAATTAAATGTCATTAGAGCCAGGGTACGCCTTTATGCCGATGATCAACTCACATCTGGCCTGCAGAAAGGCTCTTTTGTGCAAATTCACTTCAAACTAACGTGCACCAAGGATTCTGGTGAATATTAAACACACATTCAAACTGAAAAAGACAACCAAGTTCTCCTGCTGATCCTCTCTCCGGCCCTGCTGGATTCTGCCCGAACAGTAACGCCTCGCACACCTTTGAAAGGTCCGTTGTGTGATTTTAAAAATGAAAGTGAGCAATCACTTTAAAATGAAAAAGACTTTGGTTTCTGTAGCCAAAAAAGAGGCCAATTATGTGTTAGTCAGCATTCTCCACTTCTTGTTGTGCATTAGCCATTTGGATGTTAAAGCTTATTATGCAAAGTTACGTGTTGATCTTTTATCCATCTATGTAATTTTAGATAGAAACTCTCCACACATTCTGGACAGTAATGGAGATACATACAGTACATATATTTTTCTTAACATTTTTCCATTTTAATAATTCCATCATTTGATTTAATCACAAATAAAAACAGGTGAGAAACACTGACATCTACCTGCTGTCATTAAAAATGTGTTTTGTCACATTTAGGAATGTTGATTATCGCAAGTTTTATTTGTATTTCTGTTCCAGCAATTTTTTTTTTTTTTTGCATATTTAGGTATATCTATTTTTCTGGATCAATAATGATTAACCATGATTAATAATAATAATCACAATTAATCATGATTATTTGTGATTTATCCAGAGCAACCCTGTGAATAATCAGATTGGATTTTATTCATCTTCTCTTTTCTTTAGTATTGTGTGGCTTCCATCAATGCCCGGCTCTTGTTTGTTCACACCAAAGCCTTGTAGTACTGTCTTTAGCCTGTAGGCCTGGCTGCCTTCAGGCACTCAATGTTTTTTGAATTATAAGGGTTGGAGTCTGTGCCAGGAAAATTACTGCATTTGTTTTCTGGTGGGGATTTTTTTTTTTTTTTTTTTTTTTTGAAGACCTTTAGGAAGAAAGCAGGTCTGAATAACTCATTACGGCGCCTCCCACTGTCAGTGCTTTTAGAGCCAGATGCACAGAAGGGTGGACACAGCCTGACTGTTGCTGTTTGCAGCTGACAGGGACAGCTGCTGAAACAATCAGTCCCAGGAGGAGGAGACACAGTCTGTGCAGAGCTGCTCCTCATGTTTTCAGAAACCTCAGTCGTAAACTGACTTCTGCCTCTGGCTGTACGTGACATTCGTTTATGTCAAGATGCGGTTGATCCTGAAGGACAGACACACACACCTGGGAGACAGCAGGAGACACAGGGGGGGGGGGGCAGGGAGGGAGAGACTGCAGCACAGCTGGGTTTGAACATGCTATTTTAGTGGGGATGTAAGAAAATATCAATACACTGAAATATCGCAATATTTAATTTCCCATTACCATACCGATGTTCCACAGAACTGGATCAATTTTTAATTAACAATTAACAGTCAGACCTTCATGACGTTGGTTCATTTCATTTTGCTTTAATCGTCTCATGTCAAAACCCAAACACGACTCTGGTTGAATCACTTTTAAGTAACAATACGCACTGATTAACCTGGGACTGTTTTGTCGGTTACAGAATCCACTTATCGACATCAAGCCAACATTGATGACGAGGTTGTTACTATGGAGATTTTGGATACAGCAGGTCAGGTAAGAGAAAGGATCCACAGCTGAGTTTTCATGTATTCTATACACAATGTAAAAACCTACAAGAAATAGTTTTAGGAAGTGAATAAGATAAACTGCAACCAGTCACTTCATCTGGCAGAACTTGTCATGTCGTACACACCTATGACATTTATTTTAGTAGAAGGCAAACACAATAAGCTGCTGGGGAGTGACAAGTGAAAGGGAACCTGGAATGGACGCATTATTTCTTGCAGCTGGATAGAAACGTAGCCACAAGGTAGAGCTGGTGAGAGTATTAATACCTTCCAGCAGTGCGTAGGAGTACTGCTGGAAGGACATAACACCCGCCTTGCTAAAACCTAGTGGTATTTATTCTCTATACATCCATCAGAACGTGGGCTACATGCCTGTACAGTAGATAACCATGACACAGGTGACTTTTCTGACTGTGGTTTGTTGAAGTGGACTCCACTTCTTCCTGTCTTATACATCTATGGTCTGATGCTGCTCATCTACGCAAATGTCTCCTATCCACTGTCCTGTATCGTATTGAAATTCTACAGCACTGTATTGATTTTTTAATGAACAATTCTCTAGTGATTCCAATGTTAGTAACCTGGTGTTCAGATGGAACAGCAGCAGAGTCTGAGACTAGGATGAGAGTTTTACTACAATTGAATTGTCAATATATTGTCTTGCCTATAGTATCGCAGTATATAGCAATATATTGTATTGTTGCCCCGTATCGTGATACGTATCGTATCGCTAGATTCTTGCCAATACACCCTATGATGTACAGTAGATCACCTCTTCACAGAACTATTATTATTGAAATCATCTATGATGTAGATCATCTCTTCACAGAACTATTATTATTGAAATTACAGGGAGAAACGTTTTGTTTGATTCCAGGAGGACATCCAGCTGAAGGAAGGTCACATGCGTTGGGGCGATGGATTTGTCATTGTTTATGACATCACAGACCGCGGCAGCTTTGAGGAGGTGACTCCACTGCGGAATCTGCTAGAGGAGCTGAAAAAGCCAAAGAACGTCCCTCTGGTCCTGGTGGGCAACAAGTCAGACCTCGACCACGTGAGGCAGGTGGGCACAGATGAAGGCGAGCGACTGGCGGCTGAAATGGCATGCGCTTTCTACGAATGTTCGGCATGTGCCGATGAGGGCGGCACCGTGGCCGAAGCCTTTCACGAGCTCTGCCGTGAAGTGAGGCGCCGCAAAGCAGTGCAGGGGAAAGCCAGACGCCGCAGCTCGACCACGCACGTCAAACAGGCCATTAACAAGATGCTGACCAAAATCAGCAGCTAGAGACGACGCATTAGATCTTTGACGAACGAACTTTGACTGATTGGATGTGAAATATGTTCTCTACTTATTATTTTAATTTGCTAATATAAGACGACAAGTGCAATGTGTCGTCATTGCATTCTTAGAAAGGAAGTTGTCACTGGACAGCTGAGTGGAGTATTCTGTCTGTTAATACAAAGCCAGAGAACAGCGTGAAACTGGTGCATGCGAGCATGCCACAAATGCAACCCTCTCTAAAGAGAATAGTCGTAGTTTCTTCTGTGTATTTTGTCTACTGAAGAAGATTGTCTGAAGAAGACACTTGTGTTTGTCCGTTCTGTCAGCAGAAGAAAAAGAAGACCAGAGAACTGCTATAGATGTGTATTCACTGTTCTTCACCTGGTACTTTATCCCTTCACGCAATTTCACAAAAATGACTGACCTTCAAACTAAAGTGTACTTTACTTTTGTGACGACGGCAGCTACGCTGTGGAGTGTCAGTGCTGCCTGTGACCGTCCACAAAAAACATGTTTCAAAGAACCAAAACATTAAAAAATATATATAAAACCAAGCAAAGGAGGTTTTCGCTATTTTCTACAAAACCCAGAAAAAGCACTGTTGACATTCCTCCAAAAAAAACAAGGTACTACATTCCTTAATACTTTGGCTCTACATAATAATGTAAACAACAGCTTCATTAAACAAATTCCCAGCAGAAGAAGACAGAGAGGACGCCTCCGTTGTTCAGCTCCACCTACTGTACGTGTCAGAACAGACATTCAGCATAACGAACATCAACAGATCTCCTCCATAACTCTAACTGATGCAGGTACTATTTTCCAAAATGCCAATGAACAATAACATACTCAAAAAACTGACAAAGAGAGTCATACAGAAAGATTAACCAAGCTAACTTCATAGAGGTCTCTTACCACCGGGCCACAAAACAGTACTGGACTATGAGCTATTAAAAGGAAGGTTGAAGAGGAATAAATAAATACATTTTTGGCTTCAATAATTACATATTTAGACTCTTAAGTCATTGGAGAACTTTTAAAGATATGAAAAAATGTCCCACAAACGGGTCAGAAGAAAAGCATCCAACCAATGAAACAAACAGTGTTAATGTTGATAAATGCACACAATTTAAAAAATATATATATTGGTCGTATAATTTGAATTAAAGTTGTGATAATAACCAAACACATTAACTGTACCACTATCTTGATCTCTTTAAAGACCAATGTTTTAAATGTCAATAAATGTTTGCGATTATTAAATTACATCGATGACTACAAATTATTATCAATACAGTAACCCACAAACACAGTGTATACTTTATAGTACTCTACTTTAGTACTGTACTTTAACATAAAGCGTAAAACATTTATCGAATAAATTGTGGACTTTTTTTCGGCCTTTAATGAAAGTTGTAATCCAAACAATGGCGCCATGGAATAATAACAAAACCAATTAACTCACCAATTCACTGTCGTGTTTCAGCCGCTGCCGCAGGAACGTGATTCCTCTCTTTTCCTCCCTCCTTTTTTAAACTTAAACTTCATTTTCCCTCGTCGCGTCTACTCTGCCGACGTCTCCTCCGTTTGCGCCTCCTTTGTTTCCCCTTTATTCTCCATAAATTCACGAACGCTGTCGTCAACATTTTAGTAGAACTAACATGCTAACGTCCTCCCAGGTTAGTTATCATGGTTGTTGACATCTTGGCTTCGGGTAGATCTACGACCCTACATCGTCTGTATCGTCAGATCTCGCGAGAGGAACGAGGAAAATGTAAAAAGACGTCCAAAACAATATCTACCACAAGAGCAGATCATTGTTTTTTTTTTTTTGTTTGGTTGGTTTTTTAACGTTTTCTTATTCACATATTATAGGTTACATGAAATAAACTACATTGAAATCTCACTCTGAAAAGGCGCGAAGACGGTTAAACATTTTAACGCATGCGCAGAATGATGTGGACTTCCATCCATACAGACATTAATCATAATTAGTTGTTATTAATCCACAGCTACTCTGTGATTAATCCGAATAAATATTGTATCGTTTATTAGCCCTAGTAATTATACAGTATATATGAGCCAAATTCTAACACCGTTTCACTGTGTACTGTGTTTCTCTGGTGTTCTCTGCAGCGATGTGCTGGTCATCGGTGGAGAAAAATATGAAGTAAAGTCTCCTGGAAAGCACACTGTCTTTGGGGTGAAATCTTAAATCTCCAGAGTGGAAAATAATCCCCCACATCCTTGCGCAGCCTGACATCCCCATAAGGTGCATCCTGTTTAGATACGGAGCCGAGGGGGGAAATGAGCTCTGCGCTAATTTTGGCAAACTCCCATAAATGAGCATGAGAGAACATTATGACTGACAGATGGGATGAGTAAGGGAAAAAAACAGGTTAATATCTGTTGTGGACAAACAAACTGAGGTTCATAAGTTCAGTTCAGGATAAATGATATTTTTTCTCATATATTCTCTCTTCTGTACGGCCTACACAGAGTACTGAACATTTGCAGCGGAGGAAATGAAAGACCTCCAGGAGAGGGCGAGTACGCTTGAGAAATATTTGAAAAATAGCACATATGTCTTCCCCACAGATGAACAACTGTCGAGATGTTTAAGGTAAACGCAGAAAAGTTTATTTTCCCGTGTCGTACATCACATCCTGTCTGAAGAAGAAGAAGAACGCTGCTGCGTCAGGATTCTGATGTAGCCTGAAGGCTATCAGAACAAAAGCGTCAGAGGAAAATAAGTAAGATAACGTAGGTTTGGAAAGATAGGAGGCAGTAGAGGAGGCAGCTGATTGGCTGTGGAGAAACCTGAAGGGAAGAGAGAGAAGAAGAAGTTCATTTTCATTGACATACCTATCGACTTTTTCTGTTATTGTAGTTGTTTTTATATTTTATTGTTTGTTTTTTCATCTATTTCTTCTCTGTGATCTGATCCAATTGATTATTGTTATTATTATTAAGTATTGTTATCGATATAGTCAACTATTGATCCAGCTACGTTGTCATTAACACTCACTTTGCTGTTTTATCAAACACTTCTCCTCTGTGCTGTGAAGCATTGCAGTTGCCATGACAACCAAGGACCTTTCAAGTTTTACAGATACTCACTATGGTGACCGAGTCATTGTTGTACAGTGGGTAGGGAAGATAAGGTTCCTTGTAGAAACCCTCCCCCCCCCGGTCCCCCCTCCCATATAATCAGTGCAGCTCATATAGTTTATATAAACATAACAATTTACATAAATGACTCATATAGTTTATTGTGTTATGTAGTAATAATTATATTATTATAATATAATTATAATAATACACGAAACAATGGTTCAAATATACCGACCAGAAAACCAAAGTGCAGTATTGATTACATGTATTATTAAACAAAAAAAACCCTTCTGATGGTTTTTCCAGCCATTAGACTCCGAGCTAAACTCAATACTGGTGTTTTTTTTGGACGCTAACACAGTGTTGTCGTCATTTTGACATTTCCTTTACAGCTCAGTGCTTTTGAATCATTACTGGAGGCAATGTTTTTAAATTGAATCCATGAATAATTTATGATCTCTTGTTTTGAAAAAGAGGAAAATTCTATTTACATTAGACCTGCAGGGACAGAAAACTGTGGCTAATGAAACCCAGTAGGTGGCAGTAATAATGCTGGATGTTATTAAAGGAAGCTTAGGTTAGCAGGATTAGCTCAGCTCAGCTAATTCCCCTTATGAAACTGGCCAATGTAGATGATAAAGTTTTAAACAATCAAACTTTGGTTTTTTTAAATGTGTTTTTTCTATTTTTTTAATGAAAAAATGGAGAGGCACGGTAAAGTTGTCGGACTGTGACATACGAGTACAAGTATACAAAAAAAATACTGTACCAACCCAGCAGCTCTACTCCTAGATATTTTGAATATTACAGCCTGTTCCCATAGTTTTCACCCTTTTACTCCATATTATCACTGGAGATGATCAGTGACTCTATAGCAATGGTTTATTTATGTTTTTGTTGTCAGGAAACATGGGAGTGGGTTTTTGATCAGAAAACAAGACTTTGTTTTGTTTAGGAGGATAACGCCCCCTGGTGGTCGCCCCTCCCTCATGTGGAAACCCTGCTTTTATATAAATATGTGATAATGAGGCAGCTGTTTGTGTGAGAGCAGCAGACAAGCACAGACCTGTGGCAGATGACAGATTGGACATTCCACCTCCACCAGGCAAGACATCGGTGTGGCAGCAGATTAGCATCTGGGCTGCCCGCGGTCTGGTATGCAACGCTTGTCTGAGAGGAGAAAACAAACACGGGGCACTGCTCACTGTGTGCCTACAGCAGGCAAACACTTTTTAAGGGATGTCAAACCATTAAAATTATTTACATAGTAACTCTGGATTCACCCGATTAATTATGATTATTTGAGATTATAATGAATTGTGATTGACCATGATTAATTAGCATTCATAAATGTGAAGAAAGAACGATGTTTTCCAGTAGAAAGAGACGTTGAGAGTCTGTTTAAGAATTGTAAGATTCCCTTACATGGTGGTGGTGGTGGTTTGGGTGGGGTTGATCAGGGCGGACACTGGAGCCAATCCTATTTATTTGGGCAAAACGAACAACTATTCACACTGACATTCACACCTCAATTTGGTCAATTCATACACAATACACATATTTACACACACACACACACAAATCTGTCTCTGTCATTGGAGTGGAACCCCAGGGTTCACCTCCTGGGCAGGTTCGAATCCCGGCTAGGGTGGTTGGTACCTTCCAGTGGACTCACCACCTGCAGGAAGGTTTAGGTCGGGTTGGTACGGTGCAGTGTGATTACCTGGTAACAGATAAGTGGATGAAAATGGATGGATGGATGAAAATATAAAACATTTGGAAAATGAAATATATATATATATTTATAATATATTTAACTATTGTATTTTTTTATTACCTCAAAATTATAATTGACATTAAGCAAAGGGCCAGATATGCATGGGTTCCGAGCTTGAAGATGGCCCCCGGCCCAGAGTTTGGGACTCCTGATTTTAATATCTGCTTTGCATTTGTTGTAAATTGAAGAGAACAACCGTTACCGTTCTGGAAATCCAAACTGTTACTGTACCTGATACTGTTCTGGACAAAGTTAAAGTTAGTGACCTGCTGAGGAAAGACATTTACCCAGAATTCCATTACATTTCCATTGGCATCTATAATTCTATTGTTTGTTTTTTTTCGTTTCGTATATTTAAAAAACCCATCATTGAAAATACCTGCAGCATGATGCTATTGTTTGAAAAGTAATAAAAGTGTGTACATGTGTGCAGTGACACACTCCGTCCTGAATGTGTTTTAAATTATCTCTGTTGACATTCGGGTTCAGCCCGGTTGTTTTTCGGAGCTGGATGTTAAATTGGCCGGCAGATGAAAGGCAGCGTCTGAAGCCAACAGGTTTCCAGCACACTCCGCTCCACGCCAAGAGACATAAAACACCACAGTAATCCAAGATGAAGGGATTTGGGGATTATCACTGCATTTTCTGAAAGTTGCGTGATGCTGGCAGAACTTTTTTTTTTTTTTTTTTTTTTACTAGTAGAGCAGAAGCCAGGACTTCACCGCGGTGACCATAAAGGGGAAAAAACAACAAGGCTGGAATCCTCCCATCTCTGCAGATGAGCCGCAGACAGTGGAATGCACCAGGGGAGGTCAAGGGGGGGGCGGAGGGGCAGGTGTAGTAAAACGTGTTTTCTTTAATAACAGAAATATCTGGACAACGGAAGAAAATATACATGGAAATAATAAATAACCTTGACACTAGTAAAATTACAGAGGAAACACATGAGATGCATCGCACTTCTCAACAATAGGCAGCCAGACATTTAGATTCACGTGATATACACAGATTTACACACCTGAGGCGCACACACACACACACACACACACACACACACACATAAGAGAAGACTGCGTTTCATGCCACATTTACATTGGTTTACAACATCAATACAATGACAGTATCGCACACCACCGCCCACCAATCAGCAGAGAGGAAAGGGACACAGTGGACTGAAGGATCCACAGACAAAGGCGTGCAACGACAGTGTTTCACCACTAGGATTAAAAGTAGAAGAGTTTGTTTTTTTCACTTGCAGTATCAGCTGAAGTTATGTCAAAGTTTCAAAGGCTGCATTTATTTCACATTCACCGACGGAGCCTGGGACTTCAACATGTACTCGCACCAAAAAACAAATACTACACTTCTCTGTGGTCCTGCCCCCCCCCCCCCCCACCTGCCTGGTCCCCCCACAGACACAGGGTTGAGTGATTTGTGAAACCAGCAGCGACTGGGTAAAAAAAAAACATCAGTGAAGCAGTGTCTGTGACATCTGTCAATCAAACCAACAACATCACCAGACGACGTGTGGTTGTTTGAAATACTGCAATACCTAAGCCTGACCACACGGTTTAAACCAGCGGTTCCCACACATTTTCCTGCAGCGCCTCCTACTGTACAACACAACACAATCAGGCCAAGCCAACTTCAGGGGACTGTAGTTAATAGTAGTAAATGATCAGGTCATACTACTGCAAATACTGAATACTACTGTGTTTGAATTGGTCGTTGCCTCCTTGTTGAGGTTTGTAGTATAACTACAGTATTTAAAACTTCAAATATTGCACTACTGCAGTTATTAAAATGGTAAAAATGTGTACTACATCGTACAGTCACATTTGAAAAAATTAAAAACAAACAAAAAAACTACTTTGAAGCAACAACTAAATTAGTGATCATCAACTGGCGGCTCGCGGGCCACATACAGCCCACTGAAACATCCAGTACGGCCCAGGACTGGGTTCCAAAATTTTTAATAAAACATTTAATAATAATTTTTGACTTTTATTTCATTTTATTTGAGTGTCCGACCCCACCCCCCCAGGGTTGGTGACCCCTGACCTACTGTAGACCATCATCCCTTGCTGAAGTGACGTAACAGTTCATACACACAGCAGACATTTATAACTGTTGAACTGTTGACTATAACGGCTCTGTGATGGCTGAGGACTGTGGTGATGTCACACACACTCTGCCCACTGGTGTTTTTTTTTTTTTTTTCCCTCTACGGTCCATCAATCACACAGCGATCTTCCGGCCAGGGAAACAATTTTCTTCTCTAATTTCTCCAGCGCTCCTCGTTTCACAAACTCGTGGTTCACTTCCACTCGTCTGCACTCGGCCTCTGCTCAACTTGAGGTAGTGACTTAAGTTGTTTTTGCAGCTCAGTTCACTGGGGGTCACTGCGGCCTGGCTGGGGGGTGGGGGGTTAAATCATGTGACCTCTGATCAGAGCATCACCCTCACAGATGAGTACCACTGAGCAGAGTCCAAACTGCATTTCTGAAACTAAAGTGCAGATAAACAGTGAACAGTGACCCCTAGAGTAAATCCTCACCATTTTTTAAAACCAGATGCTAGTACAGTACACGCCTCCGTGTGGGGGAGGCCAGGCCTGAGGTCACAGACACAGTGACTGATGTCAGTCCATGATGTTTTCCTTTTTTTCTTTTTCATTATGGCTTATCACACTGCAGTAAAGGTGGCAGGCAACTTCACGACACGGACAGAAAAGTATGGTCTTAAACATCACCGGGTCTCACCACAACAACAACAACAACAACAGAAATACAAATAATAATAATTTGGTCCATTTTTGATGAGGTGCCAAAGGCACTTACCAAAGTGCTCAGTGAGCAGACACTGCATCAGCCCAGAGATGAAGGGAGTTTAGTGCAGATAAGAGTTGGACTTTCCCAAAAACATTTCCCCAACAGGAACTGAACTCTGAATTTCCACTGGTTTCATTGGTTTAATTAAAGTTGCTGCCAGTGACTTTACAAAATCACATTGGTCTGACTGACCCAAAAAAAGGTCTTTTATTTTATCAGGTTTGATTGACGATCTGCTGCCAGTGACTTCACAAAAAAAAGGTATTTTATTTTATCAGGTTTGATTGACGATAATTCTGATCGACTCACTCTGTCGGACCTGGATCAGTACTAATTGTTGTTGATGCAAATTTTGGCCAAAAGGTGACATCACTGAACGCAGCTTTAGATTAAAGGGACTGGTAATATGCAGTATTCCTGTCCTTCTGCTTTAGCATGAGCTGTTTTAGCCTCCGTTAGCATTCTATGCTAAGCTGTTTATTAGGATAACACAATACATTTTGTCTAATTTAGTGAGCCTGGATATCCTTAATGTTACATGCTCCTATGTCAGTCCATGTCCTGTACCTTAGATACAAGTGGAGCGTCAGCCTAGCCTAGCCTAGCTAAGGTAACCACCAGCGGTCAAGTCGGTGTATTGAGGGAATAGAGTGTTGTGATGATCTTCGTTTGAATTAATTGAGTATTCCTGGGTATTTAGTTCAGACGACGGACACTGAGCCTTTTCTTTTAGTGCAACGAACAAACGACGGCGAAGCAGAGCTTTTCACGAGAGAACGTTTTTTACGTAGTATCAAGCCCATAAAGACGGTAATACTTCCTGTTATTACCAGAATTATTGCAAATATGGTCAGTTTTTTTTTTAAAGTTTGATCATTGCTTCATGAAAGATAAATAAACAACTGTACACAAAGACACACGCTACAATAATTACTGTACAGCTTCATGCATTAATATCAGATTTATCCTGACAATGGACTTCACTGATCATTATCATTAACTGTGTTATTATTATTATTATTATTGTAATTATTATCATTATTAATCATCAGGTTTCCTTACAATAATGACCTCTCAGTGCTGTTCATTCATATTTGTAGTATCTATTAGTAGCCACAGCAATTACATTATTCACTGTGATTGTTTGTAAAGTAACATTTACAGTTTTTATCACTAATCTGTCTCTTTAAACTGATTTGATTTCACAACATTAAGACGTTATTTGTGGTACACTATGGTATTTGGTGTTAACGAACTGAAACTGGACCACAGAAAATCTATTAAAAAAAAATCAAATCACCAGAATATCCGTCAATTACAACCACTTTGACACATGTCAATCAGCTCGTCAAAATAAAAGTCCTACAGTTTGGCAGATTGCCATAGAGAATTCTTTCCTCATGGACAACTTGGGTGTTGTTGTATTGCCGTGAGCTTCACTTGAATGTTTTCTTTTGTCTCTTTTAGGCCCGTCTTGGACACCTGTGAAAAGGTCGTTGACCTCTGTCTGAAGCTACACCGAGCTGATCTGTTACTGTGTTCCCTTTAAAACCACGATACGATTTTACACTTAGAATGATTCTTAATATGAATCGAACACAAAAGAATTTAAAGAATAAACAAAACGCTAAAGTATATAACGTCAGTGTGACACTATGTACAATCATTTCCATGCAGTTCAAGGGTTAAGGAGAAGCATCTGTGGCTGGTACAGTAGATACAGCACACACACACACACGCACACACACACACAATGTGAGCAAACAATCAAGGATTATGACAAGGCTGTGTTCTCTAGTGCTCAGTAGTTATTAAAGTATCACCTCACGGTCCTCTGACTCTCTGATTGGACACCGAGACACATGAAGTACTTCAGTTTCTACCTGTAACTACACACAGTATTTGACTGTACAAGTCCTGACAAACAAACCGACCTCGGTCCAAACCGCAGCGCGAGTGCAGGAGAAGTTCTGAGCTGTGATGGAAGACGGTGGGCTGCGAGCCCGTGCACAGCGTTTGCACCTCGGTTTAAAAAAAAAAACAAAAAAACAACGGCGTGTTTTTCTCGCCCAAGAACAGAGTGGGATTTGTTTTGTTTTTTTCCAAATGTGTCATTAAAAAGCACTTTAGTTGTTTTTAGGCCAAGTTTGAGGATTCAGCTGTGAAAACTGATCCGCGTCTCCAGCGCAGGGACGTCGGCTGGCAAGACATGTGAGAGGTCGCTGGTGAAGCGTGCGGATTGGGTGTCTCATGACTGTGACGTAACAGAGAGTATTGCTGCGGACATCTGTGAAGAGTTTGGAAGCTGCGCGTCAATTAAAGGAAGGAGGAAACGATCTGAGTAAATATATAAATGATTAAGAACCAGGACGGACAACGAAGAGGAGGAGGAGGAGGAGGGGATGAAGAACGGAGCAGATCCTAATTGTTACTCTAATTGATTTTCTACTGTTAAGTCCCAGCTAATAATTAGAACAGATTTTCTGGGGGGTTTTTTAAAAATAATTTTCTAACGAACTGTACGGTGCAGCAGTGGTTCTGGGACAGATGGAAGCCGGTAGAACAGTAGAACCTGGGCCTGACTGATTCTACTCAGTCAGACCAAAGGAGTATTTACAGTACTCGTAAAAGTTAAGCGTGAGTATGTTTGATTTTTCTACCCATTTTCTTTCCTTTTCTAGTATTTAAAGCCAATGTAAAGAACCAGATTTTCCAGCCGTCCATTTGCGGTCGTTATAATTAATTACACCTGGGCCAACCTGTGGGCCACAACCTGTGGGCCACAACCTGAGTTAAAAAAAAAATAGGCCTTAGAGAGTCTGGAAAGAATGATCGAATTTCACTTAAAATGTCTAAAACTGTTATTTAGTTACTGCTTATAATTTGTCATTGTCTATGTGACAGTAAAACAATTAAATACTATTCCACTAGGTGGCAGAAGATGGCAGAAGAAGTAAACAAATAAAAAAGCTACAGACTCTCATTTTCATGTATATCTTCAATTCCTGTGAATATATCAGTGTTGTGTTCAACTAAATAGGCCCAGGTTTCACACTGAGTTAGTAAATTCAAATTAGAAAATCTTAATATTTCATTATATTTTTCAATAATGTAAAGACGGCGCTGTGGCTCAACACAGGTTGGAAAACACTGGTCTACATTGTCTCAAAATACTCCACACCCTTTAAATACTTGCTGTATGATGAATGCGTACGACTGCTGTCATATGTTGTCAAATATCAGTTAACCCGTCACCTGCGCCTCTGAAAACCTGTTGGTCCGTCTAGTGCGAAGAACTGCTGTTCATTTTACAACAGATATTTTCAGAAACACAAAGATCACGGAGGCCGAGGCTCAGAGGAGGAGGAGAAAATAAAAACTAAATAAAAATTAAATGAAAATTAAAACCAGTCACATTTTCTTAATTCCTCCAAACCTGGCAGCGAAACAGGAAGAGGAAGCTGCTGAGGAAAGTTTTTAGTCAGAGAAGAGGCTGGCGAAGGACTGTCGCAGGCTGCGGATGGTCTCAGCCTTGGCCTCGTCGTCGTTCTGGCTCCCACGTAACGTTTCTGTGAAGGTGTTGGTCAGCGACTGAGATTTGCTGTAAAATGGAGAAAAGAAAAAAAAAAGAAAATGACTGTAGTTTAGAAGAGGAAAAAAGTAGAATTTTTTTATTGTAATTTGTGACGGTACGTCTTTGAGCTTGAGGGTTTCAAAAGAACGCAGTGTCACAGTGGAATCCTCAGAAAGATAAAGGAATGGCCATAAAAGAAAACCTCCACCTAGTGGTCACTGTGATCTGGTTCAGGTCTGTGGTTCTGACCTCATGTCCCCTCTATGCAGTACTTTTACTGTCTACCTGCAGTACTTCTTAATATATCCAAACCGAAAGACTGTTTTTCAGAAGTGAATGTGGCTGCCAGTAGGGGGCGCCAAAGCTCTTTCACAGTTATATTTAAAGGAATAGAAATACTGTTTGTATAAGTGTTTTTTCTTCATTTCCATCATAGTGATTTTTTTATTATTAGAAACGCGATTTTGGGGGGAAAAAAACCTCATAATAATAATTATAATAAAAATATTTTTTCTGGATTTACTTCAGCTGCGGTGACTGCTTCTGAGACCCAGGCCCAGAGGTTGCTGGGATAGGACCAGGCTGGAAGGCTTGACTGGGTGAAGTGGAGGCTGACCGTGCCCGCTGGGGCGACTGTGATGGAGAGGTGGAAGATGAGCGGGGCCCCCCTGTGGAAGAATAAGTACTTTATTACGTACGGACGGAGAGAGAAAAAAAAAAGTTTTGTAAGCAAAGGTTCTCTTACCTCGTCTGGGTTGTGTGGTCTGAGGATGCAGAGGGATTCAAAAGAACACAACGTCAACATTGTCCTACATCAGACATGACATTCTGAAAATGTTCCTTTTAAATTAATTTAAATAGACCCAGTAGGTGGCAGTAATGCAACTACACACAGTAAAATCTACCGGTACAGTCCAGGAACGAAGCTCGGCTAACGGGTGTTCAGCCGAGACTTGGTGAAAACTCAAAGCTAACACAGTTCATGCTAGCACAAGCTGCTTAAAGGCTACATATTAGCACAAAGCTAACTCTCAGCCGGCAAGCGAGTAATACTGCAGTAATACTTCAGCACAATACTACCTTAACAGACGAGGGCTGAGGTGTGGCTACTCCCAGCAGCACTTGGGCCATCTTGTTCAGGACCAGCTCGGTGATCAGCTGTTTATCTTCCTCCACGTGTTCACCAATCAGAGGCATGGAGCTGTCCATCACCTACAGCCATGACAGAAGAAAAAAGAAACACGAGCCAATCAGCTCAGAGGTTCATTTTTAATGTGCGGTGATGGACAAGTCAGATGTTACTTGTCTGTAGCCCTGATTCCAGACCAGTGAGTCACCCAACAATTCTACCACTAGATGGAGGTGTTGTATTCCGTATCAGGGAGTCCGACTGCGTTCTGTCCCCAGGACAATGTCAGTAACGTCGAGTTCGGTGGAATAAACGACTCAGTAAGGAGAAAAGTCACGGAGATCACATACACT